TCAAAATGTAATTGCTGAATAGCTTGCTTGAAGACCGTTAACTTTTCGCCAATCGATTCAAGCTATGAAAACAGGTTGAACACAGAGGCGAAGTTGAGCATTGCAAAACTTGCAATACAATTAAACCGTTGAAATAAAAGTTTTTGGATAGAAAAAAAAGAAAAAGCCATTTTGTTGAAAAGTAGGCTGAACAAATTACTTGAAAAAGTCGAAAACTATACAACAAAGGTTACTTCTGTCTTGGACCAGGCTTATAAACAGCCTCAGCAAGAATTGAGAATTAATGACCGAGCGGCAAATTTTTTACGACCCATCCCTTCTGAAATAGGCAAAAATATCTCAAAAAACTCGCCTCAGAAACTACGCGACATAAGTTAACAAAGTCGATATAGCATAAGTCTATCCCATTTAAAGATAAACGAACAAATACAATAATTCAAAATCAGAGTTGGTAAATTTACAAACTACAGAATAATTTTCAGGTATAGTACTAGAAGCCCCTCTTAATGTACCTAATTGATTATTTTCATAGTTTTTAGTGCTGATGCAGGATGAAATGGGTAATTTAAAAAACTTGGTTTCACCCAAAATGTTAGTTGTTTCTCTTATAAAACCATTTATGAGTGAAACTATTTCATGAATTTGAAATTTGCGTAGGACAGAAAATTTTTTTACACACTTTAAGAGCTTTTAGCTTTCCACAACCTCATGCCTTGATTAAACCCTCGATATCAGATTCGACAGATATCAGAACCCTTGATATCAGTTTCATAATTTTTTTTTAAAAAAATTAGACGTAACAGCTGATACAATTGAGCTTCTCTGAACTCTTTCTTTTAAATAAACCCAAAATTTCAGGTTTGGGATTGCAGTTTTTGAGAAAATTCAAAAAATTTTAAAAAACGTTTTCAAAAATTAAATGTTTGACCTTTCCGAGTGCCATAAAAATTTTGTGGAAAAACGTTTGGGCATAGCCGTTAATGCAAGCGAGTATGGCTCAAAGTTTTTTTTATTGATACAAAATCCCGCAAATCATTCTCTCCATTAAACCTAAAATCTGAGATTAGAGAGGTTTTGTTTCAGAAAAGTCGAACAGCTTGAGAAACGGTCAAAAATCAAAATTTTACGTTTTTCCAAGGGCCATAATTTCTGTGGAAAAAATTGAGGCGTAACCGCTGAAACAGGGAAGCTTCGCACAACCTATTCTATTCATTCAACCCAAAATCTCAGGTTTGGGAGGGTACTGTTTGAGAAAATGAAAAATAAATTTAAAAAATGGCCAAAATTTCCCCCATATACTTTTTCGAAGGCTGTAAAAAATGGGCTACGGTAAAAAAAAACTTTAGGCGTATAAACAGGCACACAAAGAAATTGGTGTTCTTTCCAACAAAAAAATTAATTGTTTTGAAAAAAATGAATATTTCTTAAGCTTTTGAAAAAAAATAGTAATAGAAAAAGCCACATCCCATAAAATTTCTTAAAACATATTTTAGCACAGGGGCGAAGTTGCGCTTCATATACACAAGCAAAAATATGACCAATAAAGCTACTGGAAAAAGCTGAATGCATAAAACTTTGAGTCAAAAACAAGTCCAAAAAAAATAAAAAATTTTCAATAATTATTTCGAAAAGTTAGTTACTACCTCAAAAGAACTGAAAGGCATTTTTAATTGAGTTTGAGCAGCAAATGAAACTGAGCAGAAAAAGTGTAAGAAAAATTATTTATGAGAAAAAGTCTAGTTCCCGATTACAAGTTACTTGCTCTCGCAAGTGAAATCATCTCGAAATTACTTCGTTCTTTTGCTCAAAAACCATCAATTTTCGGGTCAATTCAAGCAATGAAAATATTTTCGAACTTTAGTGTTATTGCTTAAATGGTTGCTTGCAAAAACCACTTTTTTTAAAGATTCGATTTAAGATAAGAAAAATCTGGAATACTGTGAAGTGTTTTTGCTCAACTTCTTGCTTGAAGAACTTAGACTTCTCGCGAATCAGTTCATAGTACTTCAAACATTTCTTAACCTAATTACTCAAAGCTTGGAAAACTTTTTAAGCTACGAAAACAACCTAAATTATTTCAAATTTTGTCGTACTTTAGCTTGGTTGAAACGTTCAAAGTTGTTGTGAGCCGATTTAAGCTAAGACAAAGTTAAAACTTTCCAAAGTTTTAATGCGCAATTCCTTGCTTGAAATAAGTTTTTTTGCGATATAAATTAAGTAAAGATTAGGGAAGTGATTCAGTGATTCTGCTAAATAAGTCAGTTAGATGAAAAACTGTTCGGATTTGATGAAGCGTGCTAATCACGAGCGTAATAATCGCATGCATACTAATTATGTTCCGATGAATCGACAAAGCAAAATTTGCAAAAAAATACGGGAAAATGATTGTAACTATATCACCTTCATCATTGGGACTCCAGAAATGGTATTCGGAATACTTACAGGCCGACTGGACTCAAGCATGGATGTTACCTCTACACCAGATGCGTTGAATGTTTGAATTTTTTTACGGGAAAAAATTTTTTCTTGCCGGAAAAAAGTCTAAAACCAGTTTGCTTATCGAATGGGTTCCAATAAAAGCATCAAACTCCCACTTTCATTTGAAATTTTCAAATAGACAACCCGAAAATTCAATCATTGCGATTTGTATGAAGCTATTTAGCAAATAAAATTTCAACGTTTTAGGAAAAGTCAGAATGATTTGGCGGGTTCGTACTCACAGTCACAACCGTGTTTTCTATGACGACAATTTAATAGCAGTTGAGCTCTAACGGAAAACCGCTGATGTCTTTACAAAAATCTAGATGTAACTTAATCGGAAACCTTGTCTCATTAGTTGGGTTCTTAGTTGTTCATATCATTTGGCTAATTCACATTTGTGCAGCCGTTTGTAAGTCTTTTATTCAATTGCTGTGTTTTTGCTGCTTGGAGCATGGAAAGAGAAAAAGTTTGAAACTAGGACAACAAAAAGAGTATTGGATTGAATAGTTAAATTGAAAATAGCGATTCAAAGTGTATAAAGAGAACATTTAACAAAAAATGATCCTCCAAATTTTAGCAACTTAATCAGAAGGCCAGGTCATAATTAGGGAAAGACGAAAATATTTAAAATAGTCGTAAAAAGCACCGCTCTAGATACCGTTTTTATACATATCAACACAACAACACAGGAACTTAGATAGACATTAAAAATGCGTATTTAGCTGTGAAAACATCAACAGAAAAAAGGATATTCAATTTTAATGAGCATAGAAACTTCGGGCTATGGCAGGTGACAAAACAGAAGTCATCCTGTACGCTCTACTCGTCTAAATTTAAACTTGAAAACTACCGCTTTTCAGTTTTTCAGTGTGCTCTACGCGAATCAATAGCCCAATAGTCTAACCACTTTTTCACCGAAACTGAAATTTATCAATAATACCAGTCGATAATAGTGTACAGCCGGTAGTTGAAAGAATATTATTGGGATTTGTCGGTTTAGATGAAGCACTAAATGGTATAACTTTAAGCATTGCAGGCAAAAGTCAAACTATATTATTCTTTGAGCATTTAACTGGTTATTCAGCTAATCGTAATTTAATTTCCAATAATTAGTTTTGATAGGAAAGCATAAAATAAATTTTGGGGATAGGGGTTGGTTTCTGTGAGGTAGGGGAGTTTGGGCCATTTAAGCTCCGCGAGGTAGACTTTAAATTAATGCTGGAAAATTCTTCGTGACAAAAGGACCGAACGACTAAGTTATCATTTAATCCGTCACTTTTGGACAGCTTGAAGGATGTTTGATTGGTTAGAAAATTTCTGCCAATCGCCCCTTTTGTCGTGTGAACATCCTCCAATGAATGCGACTACATTATGCATCATTTTCATATGAGAAAAAAATCGAAACTGAGGATGTCTAGTCGACCATTTCTTCACTTGACGCCATTTTATTCTTATATCAATATCCGACGCCATTTGCATTTCACCAATAAAATCAAACAAAGCAATGTTTGGTAGCACTATCCAAATTAAGTGCTTTACTTTAAATACCGTGATTCTCAAAATGTCAAAAATACGCATCCGAATTCGTTTTTATTATTCAGTGCAAAATTGTTTCTGAGTCGACTAGATTTCCTTTGTTTCAGATAAGGAACAAATATCTGAAATTTCATAGTTGAGTTTGTCAGAGAGTATTTTTAGCTCAGGTCTAATTGGTACAATAAATATCAATGTAACAGATATCTACCAAAGCAGATCGAGTTGTTTTCCTTTGCCCCAAATACTGTTTCTCCTTTATACCACGAATGAGCTTTATAAATTTAACTATTTGTTCACTTCATTAGTTGAATTTTTCGGAGGGTATATCACATTTCAGCTTAGTTCTAATCGGCACAATAATTATCTACAGCAGATTGAGTTATTGTCCTTTGCCCCGATTATTTTTTGTCCTTTACCCCAACCAAGCTAACATTTCAGCTTAGTTCTAATCGGCACAATAATTATCTACAGCAGATTGAGTTATTGTCCTTTGCCCCGATTATTTTTTGTCCTTTACCCCAACCAAGCAGAACTCTTAAGTTAAATACTAATTGATATGACGCAAACGAAACTAGACTGACAGCGAATTAGATAAGCAACTAATAAGAAATACAGCTTTGGAACATTCACATTTCGCTTTTAAACAATTTCAAATAATATATATATTTTTCGGGTTTACTGACACAAAATGTGAATGATAGCTAAGACCCAAAGCTATCTTTCTCAGTTCCTTGTCTATTGACTACGAAGATCAACTAGCATGTTGAAATGTTACAACATCGAGTGGAAAAGTATAAGGTCGCTTTGAAGAATTACCGGATCCAATATGGATAAATATAGTCTCCCACCCCCTTCCCCCCATGTCTCTAGAATAAAAGTTATCAAATTGCACCTGCTAATTTGAGCAGCAAACTGGCTCAATTATATAATCCAACCAATCAGATCGTAGAGTTTTCTATGCTATTCCGCGACAAAAACGACATCAAAAAATAGTTCAACATTCCCGAACTTGAGGAGCTTGGGGTGGGGTTGAGAGAACTTGAGATGAGAAAATATCTTTCAGTCGATTAGTTATCAATAAAGGCACAACACCTTTTGCATCAAAAATCTTCGAAATAATAATTCAGTGGAAAATAAGTGATTTCAGATCCAAACCTTCAAACTGCATCGTAATAAAAATAAAACATACTTTTATATGTTTTCTTTTTTACTTCATATCTCATTTACAATAATATAAATTAATTTTATAAAGCATTTAATATTTTACATTTTACTGGCACTCTTTGTTTTTTCTACAAGACAAAAGAGCTAGTCACCCAATTGGTCTAGAAAAACATCAATCAGAGAAAAAGAACAGTTTTTTTTTTGCTTGGAATCGCAAGTTAACAGCTACAGCTGCATTTCAGATTTGCTGGGCTTTTTGTGAGCTCACACAATTTACACTTTCAATGAAACAAGTCGCTTCAAAACAGTTTTTGGCTATCAAAAAACTCATCGTCAAAAAACAAACGAATTACTTTTTCGGCCAAATACTACGTCGGCTTAACTTCTTCGCTGTTTACTTTTTGTTCATTCGTGCTTGTTTCCTTTTTCAATTCATTAGGGTTGGTCCCATTGTCACTCGTGTTCGAATTGTGGTCGAAAATCTCGCCCAGCAATTGAGGCAAGGGCTCCCAGTTCGACTTATTGAGCTGAATGCCAAAGAGGTACTTGCGGTGCTGGAAGCTTATAGATCTGAGTCCGACCAGCTTAGAGAGGAGGTCTTGCATTCGGTTTGCATTAGGCACACTGTTCAATTGGCAGAATAGCTGCAGAGCGTGCAGGTATGGCTCCTGCGATTTCATCACTTGCTGCTGACACTCATTCGAAAGTCCGTTTCGGTCTAAACACAATTAAGTTAATATCCAATTGTTGTCAAAATCACCATTCTAAAACATAACCAACAGAAAGTTGGTTAAGAGTCAATAAACGCAAAGAAACTGAAAAAATACTACAAATTAAACAGGGGCACAACAGTGGTTCGCCGTGATGAGCTGCACAGCTCTTGTGTTGGCCCTTTCCCCCGAGGATTAATAGTCTTAATCTTAAAATTTTGAAAAAATATGAACTTTCAGCTCTCTGAATTTATGACCGCAACTATTTTGATAAAATTAATCCAATTTGAGAAAACTGGATTAATAGGTAAAATTTTTTATTTCGATGAGCAATCTGATAATTAAATTCTATTTTCGAAATAAGACGTTGATCACGTTTTTAGTGATTTTTACACATTTGCTGTTAGATAGTGGAGTTTGCCTGCCTTTCACCAATGGAATGAAGTGAACTTTAGAAGAAATCAAAAGTCAAACCGCAAAAAAAGTAAATTTGAGTCTGAACAACAAATTTTAAAACTTCCTGAAAAAAAAACGAAAAAAGAAAAAATCATCGCGACCTATACAATCGCGTCCGTATATGAAGTACTTTCAATGACTTTTAAAAATGACAAAATTCTGGAGGGAGCAAAGTTAGAATTTTCTGTACCCATATTTTGATTCTTTTTTCCTTACTGACTCTCCGCAAACTTTTCCTAAAATTTTTCTCGGCAACTGGGATTTATAAGTTTTTTTTGGTCTATAGAAGTCCACTCGAGGTCTCTTGTGCACATTAGTGGATATGGTTAGAAAGTAGTTCGCTAAGCAACTGGGATGAAGGGTTAATTCAGATTTTCAAAAATTTAGATTTAATTTAACTTTTTCTTACCTTGGAAATATACATCTTAGAACATAGCCAACTAGCAGTTGGAAAAAAGTATTGAACGCAAGGAAACTGGAAAAAAACTGACTTGTTTTTTCAAGAGCCTACAACTTTTGAATTTCGAAACTTTTGAATTTCAAACAAAAAATCAGCAAGACCTATATAAGAGTACTCACTACGTTCATTACTCTTAAAAACATGAGCTAATATACAAGCCTGGTGATAGTATGCAAATAGCTGTGAGTAGAGCGAATTCTATGTCGTGTAGACTCATGAGTGCGAGCTGTCTCGCAAACTGCCACATCTGAGTACCGAAGCCATACTTGAGCAGACCGTCCTCCATCTGCTCATGAGTTGTCCAATGGCCTGTGGCCATCAGGAGTCTGTCGGTGGCCACGTCGAAGTACTGCGCAGAGTTTATCATCAGCACCTACAGCACACAACACAGTCCATTTCTAATTTAGAGAGTTGCAATAGCTTTTAACAAACTTATCGGACAACCTTTTCAACTTTTGAAGGTTTCAAACAACCTCATGGCAGCAATTCTTCCTGAAGAACAAAACATCTCTACAGGCATTGCAGACCGTTGTTGAATGAAAAAAGAAATATTCAATTGTTGTCTTGAGCTTAAGCAAAACCTGGACGTCACCAAAAAAGCGCAATCCTGTTGCATTGATCTTTCGAGAGTTCAACGCGGTTTTGACAATTCGATTGCTATTTCAACGCCCTTTCACTGTCTCAAGGTCAAAATCATGGTGAATGTCAAGGAGGCGGAACTGATCCAGACAATGAACTTACTAGAGAACTAGCGTGTAACGCACCTCCGGTGCTTCGAGTTTTTAACAAATTAAAAAACTACTGATATTGGAAATAAGATCTGCATCCTTTGAGTGTACTCTGACAGCACCCAATTACAGGAATGGTAATTTCAAATTTTGTAAACCTTTATACTTTGAAAAACCATAAAACTGTGAAATTCTTTGAAACATTTTAAAAAGACTTCAAAAAAGCCACATCTCGGAAACTAAAAGCAAACGAGCAGTCGCATTGGAATGCAAAATTTGTAACTTCTCAGAGTACTTTCACAAAATCCAGCCACAGCGTTGGGAATTTCAAATTTTGAGAAACTTCAAACTTTCTGATTTTTTTTGAAAAAACCATAAAAAACATCATATCTCAAAAACAAAAAAACTTGAGCAGTCATATTGATAGGCAAGATTCGCAACCTCTGAGAGTACTCCGACAGCCCCGAACTACAGGGTTAGGAATTTCAATTTTCAAAAAAAAATTAAATTTAAGTTTTCTGTAAATTTTTTTTGAAAAAACAATAAAAAAAGTCATATCTCAAAAACACAAAGATTTGAGCAGTCACGTTTGGAGGCAAGATTCGCAACCCTTGAGAGTGCTCTGACAGCCCCCAACTACAATGTTAGCAATTTAAACTTTGAAAAAAAAATTTTGATATAAATTTTCTGTAAAGTTTTTAAAAAAATCACAAACATCATATCTGGGAAACTACAAAGATTTGAGCGATCACATTTGAAGGCAAAATTTGCAACCCCTGAGAGTACTTCGACAACGTCCAATTGGTGGGTTGGGAGCTTTAAAATTAAAAAAAAATTAAGTTTTCTGAAATTTTTTGAAAAAAAATCACAAAAAAACATATCTCGAAAACTTCAAGGATTTGTGCCGTCAGTTTTTGAGGCCAAATTAGCAACTCCTGGAAGAGCAATTGAAGAAAGACTCAATATAGAGATGTGAACTTCAAATTTAGTTTAAAAAATATTTATAACTAAGTTCTTCGAGCAATTAAAAAAAAGGCAAGCGTCATATCTCGGAAACAAAGAGCATTTGAGCACAAGATTTGCAACAGATTTGCAACTTTTTTTATCTAAATTTTTTAATCTAAATTTTGAGAAATTTTTGAAAAAATTATAAAAAACGTCATATGTCGAAAACTACAAGGATTTGAGAAGTGAGATTTGGAGGCAAGATCCGCAATCCCTGAGAGTACCCTGACACCACCCAACTACAGGGTTGAGAATATCAAATTTTGGGAAACTTCCCAAATTCAAGTTTGCTAATTTCAAAATTGATAAAATAATCCTGACGTCAAACTGGAAAATCGAAGAAAAATCTTAACCATTGCAATGTACGATATAGCTTAAACGTGAAAAAATTCTTTCGTTAAACATGCAAAAATAATACTTTGAAAAAACTTAAACGTGGTGAGATAGTGAAGTTCGCATTTAAATAAATAATAGATTATGAGAGACAGTAAAGCAAACAAAGCAGGATCAAGGTACACAATTAGAAATTTATTAGCCGAACAATGAATCACAATTTGTTACAGCAGTTAGTCTTAATTTCGTTCGATTTAAGGGCAAGCTAAAAGAAACTATTATTTGTTTACCGCCAAAATGCCTTCAATTGGTTTGTTTGACTCGTTATTAAGTTCTCTGTCTAGCCCAGACCCGTCTTCTTGTCATTCACCAAAAATTTTTCAAGAATTTCAGACGTTGTCCGATAAATTTGTTCAAAACTATAAAATTTCGAACAGTCAAGTAATATGCTTTAACAAGAGAAAATGATCTAGTGTCTATCAACGTCTGGAACAAAAACTCGAACATAAAAAGTTGCGATCTGGTCCACAATTATCATTTTCCGGTGCTTGAAGCAAAAGAAAAAGTAATATTATCAGACACGGTGGTTTCAAACAACCTCATGGCAGCGGTTCTTCCTGAAGAACAAAACATCTCTAAATCTGGACCGATTTTTCATCGAATAAATGCTTTTAGCCAACATAGTCTCAAAAATAACAAAAAAAAACATTTAGGCTTTACGACAAGGGTTCATATATTAAAGCAGTCATCCAAAGTAATCGCTGAGACATCTAATACACTTTCAACCAGCAACCTTAACACACTTAAAATACCTAGGCTGTAAAAAAAATCGGCGACACTTGCAGAAAATGTTGCGTCACAGTTTACCCTACCCCCCCCCCCCCCCCAAAAAAAATGCACCCACTTCTACTTTGCAACGAACTCCACTCACCTCGATGCATGCTGGTTTGACTAGTCTGATCTGGTGCTGCTGGTCTAGCAGGGAGAAGTTGTGCAGTCTCTTTGCCAGCTGGATCACACTCTCCATGCAGATGCGAGTCAAGTGTGTCATGTGCTGGAACTTCATCTGGCGTTGTCTCTCCTGCGGAAGACATGTCAGTCCAGGGTCTCCAGTCCTGCCGGGCCATGGCTGAAAATACAAAACAACAGTAAACAAAGATGTCGTACACAAATATAGTAAACAAATTGCTGAGTAAGTAGACCAGAGCGCTCCAACCACGGTCATTTCAGTAAACAAACACAAAATCTGTTGATTTTTTTCAAGTAAAAGGTATTAAAACATATCCAATAGAAGATTGGAAAAGAGTAATGAGCGCAAGTAAAAAACACTGAATTTCTTGAAAAAACTTCAACTTTCGAATTTCAAAGAAAAAATAGATGCCCTTAACGCTCTCCGAATTTCTAAAACAATTTATGATTGGCACTTTTTCGATAAAAATTAATCCAATTTGAGAAAACTGGATCAATAGGTAAATTTATTATTTCCCTCTGGAAATTAAATTCCATTTTCAAAATCTGGAAATTAAATTCCATTTTCGAAACTAGAAGTCGATGACGTTTTTCATGATCTCTTAACTTTCGCTGTTCGATAGTGGAGTTTGCCTTGCTTCTAACAAAGGATAAATTGAACTAAAAAGAAATCAAAAATCAAACCACTTAAGCCAGAACAATAAATTTAAGCCAGAATAAATTTTAAGACTTTCTGAAAAAAAATCATCGCGACCTATATAGGAGTCTGATCTGCGTTAATCGGCTCTTAAACATGAACAAAATTAGGCAAGCTTCCAATTTTCTCTACGACAGGACGTATTTAACCAAGAAACACGAAAGTTGATAGGTCGCAAGATTAAAGTCATGCAAAAATCTATTTCAAGATAACTTTTCCTATGTTTCGTAACACATACATCTCATCTATAAAACTTTCTTCAATCAAGGTTAAGGTACAAAAAAATACAAACAAGCTGGGCTGCGCTCCGCAAACACTAGCGCGACCACGACAAAAATCAGCTCTATACAGTGCAATAAGAAAAAGTAGTAAAAAAATCGGATACGACTAGGATTCGATCTGCGACATAGATATTATGAGTCTCACACACTAACCACTCGGCCACTGACGCTTAATCGATCACAAGCACTAGCCACAAACAAAGCAGAGAACAGATGCTATGAAATTTCCAATGTGATTATAGCAAAAGTGCCACCAAATAATGAACACTTTCCACTTATAATTAACACTTATATTTGCGAGTTAGGTTGGAAAAAGAAGGTTCGTAGTAATAAAATACGCTGATAGCTCTTGTACAAATTTGAATATGAACAAGTTTTTCAAATATCACTTTTTAATTTGACTTCTTTAAAAATTTCAAACGTTCGATTTTCAAAGAAAAAATATTGCTAATGGAACGAAAGATACCACTGTACTACAAAAAATATCCCAAATTGGTCTTCAACCCCCTTAACTTCATGACAGATGATCGCAGGTGGAATGTCTTTTAAGTTGTAGCTCAGGAAATAATATCGCTCAGGGGGTATTAAAACTGCTTAAGAAAGCAACTTAACAAGTTCATTTTGGTCAGAAGCAAAATAAAACAGTTGCTTTTGTCGTTTTGATCAATTCTGTCAGTTTATATAACAATTGCAATAGCTTGTATTAAAATGCTAAGCATCGAATGTACTTCAGCGTTGGTTTATATGCATATAATGCATTAAAACAGAACGTGGAAACAACAAAAATCAGCGACTTTAGATGCAAAAAGTGACCATATTAAAGAACACAAGAGATTGCTTGTGCAAAAAAGTACCAAACAGGAACGCTTTGGCTAAGTGATCAAATTCCTACCAAGAGCTTCCGATGAAACAATTGCTCTATTGATTCTCTTGCAATCAAATGTGTCAAGTGGGATATTACCTATTTCTTAACATATATGGCATTCATACACAGAGGCGGATCTAAATTTTTCTCGAGGGGGACATATTTTCAATTTACTTTTGGTCGGCCAAATTGATTTTCCGAGCGCTCCCAGAACACTATAACGACCCTATTTAGACAAAATTTACTGCGCCTCAAAAAACGAGTCGAACAAAGGGTCAAAAAGGCCGTTTTTGCGCACTTTTGGAAAATGTTGACCAAAAACTCGCGTTTTTTCGGCGCACGCTCCCCTTCAAAATTAGTATACATTGGCGCCAGAATTCAGGTTTCGACGACCGATAATGGATAATAAATACCAAAGGGGAATTTTTTGGAATACCAAAGATGTAGGGGGGATAAATACCACCCCCCCCCCCCCCCCCCCCCCTACATCTACATCCGCCCCTGCTCATACATATCCCCGTGAAGCGCTTATTTGCACCAAATTTGAACTTATCATGCAAAAATCTTGTGCGCTCGCGTAGGGGACGGAGGGAGGTAGAGGGTGAGGGTGGGGGAGTTTGTCGATGATGCAAAAGGGAGACATGTAATACACGTACTGGTAACAAGTTGGTCTTCTCTGGTCCAGGCATGCCGACTGACCATCTGTCTCTGACTAGTTTCAGCACCAATTCCACCTCCGATCCGCTCAGTCCACACCGGGTCAACTCCGCCTCACAGTCGTACAGGGGCGGCAGCTTGAACACCGGCACATCGCCTGCGCCTACACACCGCACACAACATCTTCGCGAAACGAAAAAGAGCACGCCGATAATTCATCGCAATTATTAACACAGCCAACAATGTGAAAGTGTGAATGAACAAAAAAATAAATGACAATTTTTCGGGGCTTATGCGCATAAAGATCTTTGAATTACAAGACAGTTTTACTATGTTTTGATTGAATTAAGCCAATACGAGAAAAAGAGCGGGCGATTTTTCGCACTGTTCGCATGTTTTTTTTTATCAAAGTGCACAATTTGACTTCTGTTTAGAAAATGATATTGAAACAAACCTTTTTCCTGAAAAACAAACAAAAAACCACACGATCCAAACCTTTATAAACCATTCGTTCATCAACATAAAGATAGCATTTGCATAAGTAAATGCGCCGAGATATTATCACTTACTAGCTGACGACGGCAACTTCTGCATGCCTCCCGTGCCCGTGGCCGCATACCCTCCGATCGAATCTTGTGATGTCGTAAAAAGAGGGTGGGGTTGTAAACCTGCCCCTCTATCGACTGTCGTGGGTATTTGAGAGGAGTTTGGCGTGGGATTGTGCATGGCGAACATAGACAGCCCGGTTGGAATACCCATTCCTCTCCCTCCCGCTCCTCCGCCGTCTAAATTATGTTGGGGGTGTGATGATGAGCTTGAGCCCACCACTGATGCTCCAGAGTGGCTGGCTGATTTCGTTTTCCGCTTCGCTTGCATCGATCGACATTGCTCAACTGACATCAGACCTGCGAACACAGCAAATTTAGAATTTACACCATGCACCATCAGCATCTATGTTGCATTCAGTATAAAATCAGGGAGAGGATGGAGAGGCTCGATTAAATGCTGTTTCCACTTTTGAAGTTTTTACGCGTAACTTGTCTTCTTAAACAACATATGAATAGCATATATGTGTATGAATGCACTTCTGTACCATAAGCGCATTTTTAGAGTTTCCTTAAAAAATCAACACGACCTATATAAGCCTCTTGACACAGCACATCAGCATGGCTTTTGAGCTAATCACTACTGCTAAAAATTGATGAAGTGATAAAAACTAACAAATCTAAAAACGGTGTAGAAAAACCAAGTAAAAAAATCAGCCGTAGATTTCATTAAATATGAGATGCCCCAGAGGTCACTTCTAAAACCATTCATTATGTAACATTCTGAAAACATGAATAGCATTCCGAGTTGTGTTTGTGACAATAGCTATTCACCGATGACACTATATGCGTTTCTTTAGTTCAGATAAGTTAAATGATCATAATGGCTGGAACACATCTCCGATAATGAAAACGAATTTCAAACACAGAAGCAAAACTGCGCTTCGCAAACACTAGCGGGAAAACGACAAAAAGCAGCTCTATAAAGTGAAATAAGAAAAAACAGAAATAAGCCTCGAATTAGTAACAAGCAATTGCTGTGCGACGAATTTGAATCAGCGACCTCAAGATTGAGAGTCGCACGCCTTTCCATCTCAGTCACGGACACTTACCGACCGTTAACACTAGCCAAATTAAAGCAGATGACAGGTGCTATGAAATTTCCAATGCTAAAGTTTGTGATTATAGCAAAAGTGCCACCAAATGAGCAATTTGATTTGCGAGTTAGGTTGGAAACAGTATAGTCACACTAACACACTACAAAATCGACTAAAAAAATCAAATATAATGGCTCAAAATCCGATGCAAAAGTTCTTAGTCAGATCGCCACAATTGCATGAGGTCCGCTCAATTCCATGCTGTTTTTCCATAAAAATAAATTACCCATTTGAAATCTAAATTCAATTACGTGTTTTTGGTTCATACACACTTTTGTTTGTAGAGAGCGCTATATAGTTTGCCTTTGTCAAAAAGGAACCTAGTGTAGTGTCAGGGCGTTCACCTTGAGTGCATCAGATCGTGCATACGATCACCTGACATGGCAATGATAGAGTGCGCGGACAAGATCTCTTGTAACCTCTAGCTTCCGATCTACCACAGCTTGAACAATTTCGGCTGCAATAGTGGTACCACGTGAGATTTATAGACGCAAAAAAATGGACTGGAGTAGTAAAAATAAAGTTTCGCTCAACAAAAACAATTCAGCCTGGAATGTGCAAACTCAACAATTTCAAATGGGATAATTAGTTACGGGACAACCAAAAATCGTATTATAAAGAGACTGGATTTTTAAAAAGAAGCGTGATTCGTAGCTCATAAATGGTGTATTGTTTTTGTTTTTCAAAGCTTAGCAAAGAGTCAATCTTTTCACGAATTTAGCGAAGTGACCTGCCCTGAACAAGCAATTTATATGAATCTTCACGAATAACTGCAACATCGGATGAATGTAATGAGCACCATCGGATCAACAGATTCTTTCCCTGTTATGAAAAGTTTATTTTTTCATTTAAAAAAGATTGTTCCTGTGAACAAAAAAAAGGTCGACAAAATTTTTCAAGAACCTCTTCCACCATAAAACTGCTCACATCACTGGTCCTCCCATCATCGATTTAATTATCGCTGCGCTCATTCGGCTTTGAAAGATTTCCGTTTGAAAACAGCCCTCAAATTTTGCAGAGAAACAATAGTTATTTCTACCATTGAACACATGAAGACTTTTCTATTTGCAATAAATATATCAATCTACAAAATTAATAAAAACGCCTCATCAAATTTGAAAGCATAAAAACAAAGCGAACAATTTTACTAGGTCCTATTACGGAGGGTAATTTAAGAACCCAGTATTTTTTTTCTGTCATTTTGAGAAACCCAGATCCTGCCTAATTCAAGCCCTTTTGTGCTAAATTGTACCACTTTGAACTGACTGTCACTTCCATTAAATTTACTTTTGTGCTAACGTTTTGTATCTCCAAGTTATTGTTTTTTATCAACAAATCACCTTTTCTAACTTTATTCTTCAGTTTACAATCATTCTTTGATTCTACTATTGCTCATAAATTCTTCGAAATTCAAATTTCAAGCATAAATGGAAGCAATTCCAGACGTAGTTTTAAACTGCGTGCAGCCAATAGCCGACAAAGCAGCAGTATTAAACAAGAGAGACGACTCAACTTCATCACGTGATATTTCCAATGTGAGTTTTGTCAATTTAGAAGTGGACATTCACGAATCTCCGAGACCCGGGAGCCCGACTGAATTTCTTAACAGCAGTTCTTCAATCATCGGTGATCATAACCAGAATGGTAAAGGTTAATGAGACTCTTGTTCAGACTGGTCCACATGTTTAAAAAAATTAACCAAATGACAGTCGGAAAAATGTCAATGCACATGAAAGAAAAGTTATTTATTCAAAGAGGTAAAGCGAGGCTTAGCACCACTTGCAATACATCCAAAACATATCATTTCAAGTCAGCCGATATAAAATGAGACAAACGCCACTAAATCGAAAAAAATACCTAGCAAAATATCTAAAAAGATGATCTGCTAAAAACATTTCACGAAATATAATATCCAGCTAAAAACATCCAGCTGAGCCTGAACATAGCGAACAGAATGCTGGAAAAGTGTAAAAGAACAAGGATACCGAAAAACAATGCTTGAAAACTTTTCAACTTTCGAAGTTAAAAAAATATTAAAACGAGGCTCTTTGAATTTCAAGAATAATTAATGATTGACACCTTTTTGATACAAATAACCTAATTTAAACAAACTGGATCAATGTCTAAATTTTCTATTCTACTGGGAAAACTAAAATCCACTTTCGAAACTCAGGTCGTTCACGTATTTTCGCGCCTTTTCCGCTTCCGTGATTCGAGAGCGCAACGGACCTAACTTTTAGCAGATGAATTTGATTTGAACTCAAAAGCTGCATTCATACCATGGTGCATTTATAAATGCGATAATATGCATGAATGCACATATGTAATTGTTTAAACATTTTTAGACTACAAACAAAAAAATGAGCGACCTAAATAAGTGAAAATTAATTCGTTCTTCTATACTTAAAAACATAAAGGCGCTAACACTTATGCAGACACTGGTTAAACCAAAAAGATGTCACTACAAATTTGATCGTAAAACATCTTGAAACTAAACAATTTGGAGTCCTCTTCGAAGCCAATCACTCATCAGGGGCGGATTTAGATAAGTGGCGGACGCCCCCTCCCCTCTACCGACCCAAAGGGTCCCCCTTTGAACTATATTGAGATATCAGTTTTTGGCTGACGGACCCTAAAGTTTTTTTGAAGGCGCCTTTGCGCCAATATATACTTATTTTAAGAGGTGAGCGCGCGCCGAAAAAACGCGATTTATTGGTCAACATTTTCAGGGACTTTTTACTGCTTTGGGAGAGCTCGGAAAATCAATTTGGTCGACCTGAAAAAAAAGGTCGATAAAATTTTCGAAAATTTTTTGAAAAGCCGCCCCCACCTCGAGAAAATCCTAATCCTAGATCCGCCCCTGTCACGCATGGCAAATTTTTTTCATCCTTCAAAAGATAATGAAGTCAAGCCGATTTATCACAAGCGGAAATTGAGTAAATCTAATAGCCTTTAAAATACAAATTAAAATCAACCCGATTTGGAAAAAACTGGATCAACAGGTTATTTCTTTTTTTCCGCTGTGATATCTTACAGTAAAATCCCTTTTTGGACCTTAAAGGTCATTCCCGTTTACTAGCGCCATTTGCACTTAGGTTACTGAAGAGCGTTTTGGGGTGCCTTCTTTTTAGCCAATGAAATTGGATTGAATTTAAAAGGAAAATTAAAGACAATCTTGAAGGTGAACAACTTCTAAGAAGAACAACTCATGGACCACACGAACTACTTAGACGTTTTTTAGAGATCAGATCCAGTTTTAGATGTAGTAGCATATTTCATGCAAATGCTGAGATTTCGGTCGCTTTAGGAGTAAGAAATTTTTGATAAACAAACTGCACAATTACACGAAGTACATTTTTATGAGCAAAAGGTCATCGGCAAAAAGAAAGAACATAGCCAATCGAAAATTGGAAAAGAAAAATGAACGCAAGTAAACCTTAAAAATAACGCTGACTTTCTTGAAAAAACCGAACTTCTAAGAAAAAAAAAACTGATTCCCTTTAAGTTCTTTAAATGTCTAGAACAATTTATGATAGGCGCTTTTTTGATAACAAGAACCCAACTTGAAAAAACTGGATCAATAGGTAAAGTTTTTATTCCGGTGAGAAAAAAAATAAATTCCACTTTCGAAACTAAAAATCGTTCACGTTTTTTTGTTCCATTTGCACGTTCGTATTTGGAGAGTGCAATTTACGTCACTTTCAGCAGATGAATTTCAATTTAACTCAAAAAGTGCATATATACCTAAGTGCATCAATATTTTAAGACTTTTTCCTGAAAAAAAAACAAACAAAAAAATCAGCAAGACCTATATAAGAGTCTTCACTACGTTCATTACTCTTAAAAAAATTGAAAACTGGAAAAGAGTCTTATTTTAATACAGTCTCGCAAATCACTCCTAGCTCCTTTGTACCTCAGAACTCATTCGAACTGCAATTGAAACAAACGAGCGACGAATGCTCCTCTTCATCAGTGATCGGGGAGATTATGGAAGCGAAGTTCAGATTGAAACCGAGAGATGACAATTCCAGACACAACGTGTACTATAGAGATACCAGGTAAAGCCTAATCTTTTCATAGTTATCACGATTTATCCACAAGGGAAAAGACCATCATACGAGCTGTTCAGCTCATCACGGAAAACCACTGTTGTGCCCAGTTTAAGAACTGCATGCATTTCATGGTTATTTTTCTGGGCTGGGTAATGTTGACTCACCTCAAGCAACGAACACGGATCATGGCAGGCCTCAAACAACGGACCCTACTAAGCCCCTAGCCTACCAATCAATCAAACTATTATTTTTCAAGTACACAATAGTTGAGCAAAAACAAAGGTGTGACAACCCCTATCTCTCCATATCAGTGATCAGAAAAAGGTTTCAACTAAGATAGTCTAACTTTTACATGTGAATTAACTAAACTCAACTACATGCAAAGCAAAACTTTGAAATTTTAAATGTTTCTGAAGCCACAACAATAGCAACCTCCCTTTGCCCGAAAAACATTACAATTGCCCGGAGCGTGCTTCGGATGATTTACGACAGACTAGACAACTGACGAGGTCGAAGTCTAACGATGAGCGAAATATGAGGCATTTCGGCGGCATCTCGTCTCGTGCTTCGTCTCTTCCGAGTGGTGAGGGGGGAGCAGAGAGTGAGAGGGGGAGTGTGTTTACTGAAGTTGACATTGAGATGGATGAATTAAAAGTGATTCAGAGAATGGTCGAGGCGGAGGAGACAAGAGAGAAACTCCAGAGAGTTTTTGGATTCTACACTTTCACCAAGTTAGTACCAGGCAGGGCTGCAGTTGATTGGCAAATTATTGCCGTCTTTTCACATAAAACGCTTTATTTTGATATCAATTTATGCAGTTTTGTGGATCGAAAAATAAGAAAATCGTGGAGCTCATTTATTCGGTAATCCAAACCTCTATCAGCAGGGCTATCTAGCCACATTGATCAGTTTGGGAGATCATAGGGAAAAACTTCCACATTTCGGATCATTTGGACTGCTTAACCCAGGTTTCTCAAATTTGATTGACTGTTATTTCAGGATGGTATTAATGATGAAAAAACTCTTCGCAAAGCAACGAAAGTCCAATGATAAAAACGATTGCGAACTCACAGAAGGCTGTGGCAAAAACAATCTTCAGGGAACTTCAGGCGAAAGTACTACTCTTGCATTCGCACTCGAAAACACGAAAAGGGTGAAAACACTTAAAGAAACAACAGCAATGTTTACGGTCCAAGACTCTCAGACAAAGGATCCAAAAAACCGCGAAATTGAAAAATCTGAGACCAAAACTGGAAACCGAAATTTCGAAGAAAACCTGTTTGATCGCTTTGCACACTCAGCTCGCGAACCGGTTGATGGTATTATTGAAAGCTCAGATAACATGGAATCAATAAAACTGTTTCAAAAGAGCCAACAAAACCCTGGAAAAGAAATTTCAGATGAGATCAAATTATCGGTTGAAGCAAAATCACAGCGTCGAAATTGGGTTTGGGATACAACTGACGAGAAAAATTCCAGAAAAATTACATTTTGGAGTATTTTAAACGTTTACGCAGTACTTTATAACTTCTCTTTTATTATAACAAGACTTTGTTTCGAACAGGTAAATACAGATTATTTATCTGCATGGATAAGCATTGATGTTACAGCAGACGCTCTCTACTTTTTCGACATTGTTTTGCAGCATAGAGCTACTTTCTTGTACCAAGGTCTCAGTATTGTTGATATACAACGGACAATGAAGAAGTATTTCTCCAAAAGGGTTTTCAAACTGGACGTTTTTTCTGCAATTCCATTTGACCATATTTGCTATATTTTGAAAGGCGGTTTCAGCATACTCAACTTACAAACTAATCATTGGATCTTTAGTGGCCAGTTTCTGCTAATTTTGCGATTCAATCGACTCTTCAAGCTCGGTACAATTTTGAACTCATTCGAAAAAATCGAGAAACGCACGAACATGCCAAACGCCATTCGCATTACAAGATTGTGCTTATGCATAGCTATAATCGTGCACTGGAACGCTTGTATATTTTTCCTTATTTCTGAAAAAATGACTTTGGGTTCGGACAACTGGGTTTTCGGAGGTTGCGACGAGCCTGAACTACAATCTATGCTTCTTAACTCCATTGCTAATGGAGAAAGTATGATAACAAACGACACTTACTCTTCGCTCGGTGGTCCGACTTACTTTGAAAGTATTTCACTGCAACTAGCTCGCAATAAGTCGTGTTCTGAAGTAAGTCCAGAGATGGTATGTCTGGAACCAACTTCAGATGTTTGGAAAAATGCGGATGAGTTCCCATTTCAGATCTCATTTTCACTATCTTGCAAACACGGATTGTCTTACGAATTTGAACCATTTCTGCCATTATTTTCGGACAATAATTCAAGTTCACTTCCAACTTATGACAGGAACAAAATGGACGATTTCGTTTGGGGCGTTACCAATCGCAAGATAAAGTGTCATTTTTCATACCAGTATTTATATTCCATGTATTGGTCCACTTTAACTCTCACTACAATTGGAGAGACGCCTCTACCTGAAAACGACTCTCAATTTATATTCATGGTAGGCGACTTTCTTCTGGGCGTCATTATTTTCGCTACTGTAATCGGAAACGTTGGAACAACAATCAAAAACTTCCAAGCTAACGAGACGAAATTTAAGTCCCAGCTTGACACTGTCAAACAGTATATGAACTTTCGAAGAGTTGACAGGAAACTGGAGCGCAAAATAATCCATTGGTTCGACTACATATGGGACAATCAAAAATCGATCGACGAACAAGCTTTGATTGATATTCTTCCGCCGAAACTTCGTGCTGAGATTGCGCTGCATATTCACGTCGAAACTTTGAAACGGGTGGCAATTTTCTCCGACTGTGAGCCTGGTTTTCTAATCGAACTTGTACTGAAACTGAAACCCGAAGTTTTCAGTCCCGGTGATTTCGTATGTCGAAAAGGCGACGTGGGAAAGGAAATGTACATCATCAAGCAAGGGTTCCTCGACGTAGTTTCCGAAGATGGTTCCAAAGTGTTCGCGACGCTCAAACCGGGGAGCTATTTCGGGGAAATCAGTATTCTTGGAATTGAGGGAAACGTGAACGGCAATAGGCGAACTGCAAATATACGCAGTCAAGGATTTACAGACCTATTTGCACTGTCTAAGACGGACTTAATGCAGGCAACGAGAGATTACCCTGAAGCTAAAGAGAGTCTGATTGAAAAGGGGAAACAAATACTCATTCGAGACAACATGTATAAGGCGCCGATGGAAACGGCGTCCACATCCAAGAAATGCGAGAAAAAAGTAACGGAAAATTGATTCAATTTGACCACTTTGTGGCTGGATTTTTGAGAAAAATTGATGGTGTTATTGTTAAGATGTGAATGTGTTGCGTAATTTGTATTTCAAGTGTCGAATATATTTAATCGGTACCGCTACAAGTCGCTAGAAAAGGCAATTAGTAATAAATGACAACTCGAAAAATTTAAGGAAACTTTTAACTAGCAAAGTTCAAATAATTACTTTTCACTCAAGATTTTCGATAAACGGCTCTAAATTTCATATCAAGACCCACCCTCTATTGGCAAGCTCGCAACACGTTGTCGCGACTGCGGCGGTGAGTATATTGCGAGTTGTCTTTCAAGGCGGGTTGTCTTTTATTGCGAGTTTTCGTTTGTTGCAAGTTATCGCATTACGTGCTTAAATCAATTATAAGTTGCTCCCATATTTATATTCTCTATTTTTATTCGGACTTAATCTCAAAAACAATATCAAAATGAGAAAGGTGCTCCCAAACAATCCAATAATTCCTCAAAACCCCAAATTCAGAGAATACCGCAGAAAAAGAAGCGAAGCGGAGTTTTGCACCTTTTATGCGACAAAACTTGACATACACGCAAAGCTGCACTTCGCAAACAAGAAAAAACGACAAGAGGGACCATTAAACTCAAAAACTTAACCAACAAACAGTTGGAAAAAGTCAAAAACGTAAGTAAACAGAAAAAATATTGACTCGTTTTTTTTTTTGATAAACTTTAGAATTTCAAAAAATAGATGCCTTTGCAGCTCTTTGATTTTTTAGAACAATTTATTATTGACACTTTTTTGATAAAATTAACCCAGTTTGAGAAAACTGGATCAATAAGTTAAAATTTGAGCCTTAAAAAATTTTCAGACATTTGGCAAAAAAAAACAAAAAGTCATCGCGACCTATAGGAGAGTATGAACGACTAAAAAATATATATAACAAAGTGTCAGCAAAGAAAACCATAGCCATCGGACATTTGGCTACAGAACGCCTTAAAGATCTTTGAATAGCAAGAAATTTTCATCCATGACACCTATTGATAAAAACTAACCCAATGTGCAAAATTGGATCAATCCGCCAGAAAATTTTTATTTCAAAATACAAATTTTCGCGACATTTTCTCTTTTGTTATTGAAGCGGGTAATCTCCCTTCCATTTGGCAAATGAATTCGAAGTGATTTTAAAGCGAAATCAAATTCAAACCAAGAAAAAACAAGACTGAGCCTGAAATAAAACAATCATAACCAAGTGAAGACCTAAATTAGTCTTCACTTCGTTCTTTGACATTTAATTAGCTTAAAAGAAGACTTAGCCGACTGCAGGATTCAAACAAACTTTAGAACGGACTTCTGTAATATGAGTCAATTTACTTCGCAACATCACCATATCCGCTTGCTTTCTTAGGTCGTTCACATCATCTAATGAAAACCAGATAGACTGCACTTCGCATATTCAAGCACTTCGCATAAAATAGACTGCACTTCGCATAAAATAGTTGAACGCTCAAACACATCAAAAAAAAGCGAAAAAAATAAATGCTGGAAAAAATATATATATTTTAGAATTTTGAAACAAGAAAAGCCAATTGTGAAATTAAAGCACGCGCTTCTTTTCAATTTTAAGACAAATTTACACAGAGGCGAAGCTGCGCTTCGCAAACACTTGCGAGAACACGACCAAAAAGCAGCTCTATCAAATGAAATAAGGAAAAGTAGAAATGAGCCTCGAATTATCAAAAACTCGGCTACGTGTCGGAATCGAATCTGCGACCTAAGCCTAGCAAATTTGAGTCTCACGCGCGAACCACTCAGCCATGAATGCTTCAAATTCCCAAAAACTAGCCATCAATAACGCAAGTACACATGCTAACAACTTGCCAGTTCGATGCAGCAAAAATAGCCAAAAATACACAAATTTGCATGTAATAAATGGAAAGCATAAAGCCAAATTATTTAAAAACTATGTATTTCAAAAAAAATTGCGAAATACTACGAGTTGGAAAGTTTCTGAAATAGAGCTTTTTATCATTTTACTGCTGTTTGAAATAACTAACTTTTTTCGGTACATTTGATGAATTAAAAATGCATCAGCTGTGTAAACTTTTCACATATCAAACTTTTGACACCAATATTTGCGACTTAGGTTGGAAAAAAAAGAAATTCGTACTAATGCAATTTGCTTCGCAAGTGTAAACATCGAATATACAAGCAAAAGAAAGTAACGCTCAAAAACCATAGTCAACTCATTAAAAAATTACGCTTAAGCAACGCAAAAACTGTTTGTCATCGCACGGAATGGAACTCTTAAGAGCCATTTTCGGTGTTTAATGCACGAATTAAGCCATCGTAAACACGCATGCTTGCATAATACCAGTACCCAGCAAAAATCACTAATTTATCCGTCCAAATTAATCATTCAGTATAGCTCAAGCCGGCAATCCTGCTAAGAAACATCATACTAGAGCAAAAACAACACAAAACACAATTTCAGAATACAATAGCTATAATTGGAAAAACAAATTAAAACGTGAATTTTCAGGAAAGCTTATCATGTTGAGCTAGAGATATACTTTTCTTTAGAGGACACATCCATAAGATACCTAATACAAAAACCCATTGAGCTATACCAGTTACTGAAACTGACCTTCATTACCAGAGGGCAACTGATCTCTGCAAAGACACGCCAGAAAATGGCAAACACAAATTGAAACAAAGAGGCGAAGCAGTGCATCGCAGCACTTTCTAAAAAACAACAACATTACAATACAAGATAGTGAACAGAGAAAGAGACAGACGTCGAAAAATTACTTGAAAAAAGTCGAAAACTCATTAGTTTGTCTCGGCCAAAATTCATAAACAACAGAGAAACATTCATAAAATACTGAGAAATATTTACCGAGCGGCAAGTAAGGTAAAAAAAAACTGAGTCGAAGCCCGTAAAGTCGAAAACAGAAATGTTGTCAAAAATCTTAAGCTAAAAAGTTTTGAGACTCGAAAATTCTACGACCAATCCTTCCTGAAACACAGAAAAGCATTTAGAAAATCCGCCATCGAAATGAAGAAATAATCGTTGAGTAAGCCCATATAGCAAAAATCACCAAGACCTATAAAAGAGTACTCTCTGCTTTCATTACAATTGAATACTTGAGAGCAAAAAAGCATCTACACATGCTATTAAATCACCAATATTTTGAACAACACCAAAAACACTCATTTGCAAATTAGGTTGGAAAAAAGTGCTTCGTAGTATAACACTACACTCGCGTGTGTTTGCTTCCGCTACTTTGCATTTTCGAGCGCCTAAACACGCTATTATTCTGACATGTTTAAAACGCAATCTACAATTTTTTCGTGTCAATCAAATTTTTTTCCAGAAAAACGGAGGAAAGACGCATGTTAAAGAACTTTTTCAGAGCGAGCGAAAAATTTTTCCTGATATAGTGTTGGTAAGTTAACTACCAGCAACGAAACCTTTGGGAGAGTAACCAGTTGAATTCCAAGCAGGTTGTCAATTGACAAATACCTCCTCAATCTAAAACATTTCCCAATCCAATGTGGTTAATCAGAGCTGTCTTGGCAGAACGTTTGACGTGAATAGCCAAAAATTACCAAAAATGTCCCATGAAAGAATATTGACAGCAGAGAAACCCACCATCTAAAGGACTGAATCTTGTAGCCTCCAAAAGCGTCCTCCTTAAGTACTTTTTTTACATCCATTACTGATGAATCGACCATGAAATGTCTCTGAAGGCTCCAATATACAGTAAATTTGAGTGGCGAGCCTTTGTGAAAAACTCAATTTTTTGTCAAAACTTTCCCCAAAGTGCCTAAAAACGTCATTTTCTGCTTGTTTTCTGAAAAAAAAATCATATTGGGTCAAATACTGTTTTGTGAGGGCTCGGAAAATTAATTTGGACGAACTGAAAAACACGTCAAATTTTTCTATTTTTTGGAATTAAGCCCTACTCTTCGATAAAACGCAAAATCAACTACTTCATTGTCGTCAAGTTAATTGATCTGCACGATAACCACACCGACGTCTGGTAATTTTTTAATTATAATCTCATTTTAGATTTTTGATTCGAAACTGAATGCCAGCAAATTTGTATTGCCCAATCAGAATTAATTACTCAAAACACGAAACAATTTGGTAATGTTCGTTTTTTTTCTAGTATTTTTTAACAGTGATAGCAAGTTCATGAAATTTAGCAAACGCATATTTTAAGCGTTTCTGATCAAATACGTTTATCTATTTTCATCGTAATTACTTGAAGCATATTAAGTATCTAGATTAGCCTGGTCAAATTGTTTGAAAAAACTACTAACTGAACGCAGAAGCACAATCGAGACTATGTTTTAATGCTTAATTACACCTTACAGATTTGCAGCTGCTGTTAGAGTACCATAAGCCAATGCATTATCTACCTAATCAAGATGTAGCGTCCCAAATGAAACATAAAACTCGTTATTGAATGCTTTATAGTCAAAAACATGCCAAGTTACGAAAATCAGACTGTTAAATTCAGCGAAAAAAGGACTCGTTGAATGGGCTAACTTTCTGATAAGTTCGTCAAAACTTGCTAGAATAATTCAAAGCTGTAACATGGAATCAGTAGCTAATTTAAATTTTAAATTTGCAGAAATAATTAAGAAAGGAACTTCTTGATTTTTTATCAATTTTTACTTCTTGAGTTACTTTCAGCAATCAACAAAAAAATAGGGAAAAAATTAAAAATCAATCAAATAAGAAAAACAAAGATAACGGAATTTGAAAAGAGTCAATGAACGGAATCAACAGAAAAAATACTGCCTTGTTTTTTAAAAACAGTCTCAACGTTCAAATCTTCAAACAGTTGGAAAAATGTCAACGAACGCAAAGAAACAAAAGAAAAATTGACGTGAATTTTGAAAATATTTTCATCACCAGTAAGTCTTAGAGCTTTTTGAAAATTGAGAACAATTTACGATTGACTCTTTGTTGATAAAATTAACTAATTTAAGAAAACTGAATAATAGGTACCATTTTTATTCCTGAATCTGAAAATTAAATTTACATTGAAGTCAATCACGCTTTTCATGACTTTTACACATTCGTAATTGGAGAGCGCAACTTACCTAACTTTTAGCAGATGAAATTGATTTGAACTCAAATAGTGCATATAAACCCAAAAGCATTCATAACAGCATGATATCTCTTGTATACACTTCTGTATAAAATACAAGAGCATTTTCAGGCGTTTCCTTAAAAAAAATCATCACGACCTATAGGAAAGTCTGAGGTACAATCTTGCTCGGTCGGGCAGTTACACTTGAGCGATCACTTGAAACTATCATCTGGCTACAGAAAGATTGAGAGGCACTGCTTGTCGACAAGGGAGCAACAATAAAAAAGGAAGGGAGCAACAAGTACTTACACTCTTTGCGCATTCCAGCTGCGTAGCACCGCTCCAACCGACACTTCTGACACTTCCTGCGCATGTAAATGTCTATGTTACAGGCTCCGCTCTTCTCACACGTGTACTTTCTGTCATTAGTCACACTCCGGCGGAAAAAACCTACAACACAGTACAGTTCACATTCTAATTAACAACAAGCTCTTAAACTAAATCACTAAAATGACAAAATTAATCAATCATTTTAATTATAATCAGTCGTTTGAGCTCTTTCAAATTTAATCGGCAATGTCGCCACTTTGCTTTTACGGTTGATAAAGCGATAGTCTATTAATTAAAAAGAACAATCGGTGTGCTGCAGGCTCAAGACTTTGTTTAGTTTTTAAACTTCAGACAAGTCTGCTCGTATCAGATGGAGCCCTGAATGTTCCAACAGGCTTTAAGGCCTGCAGAGAAGTTTCGTTTTGAAAAAGTATGAAATTTTGGTAACAAAACAAATTTAGAATCAACACCTAACACGCTATGTAAAGTACAAAGTGATATAATTAACATATAGCAAAAACTAAACGAGCCCAAAATACGATAAAATACAGAAACGTGATTAAACGAAAATCAACTTAAACACATATCGAAATGAATAAGGCTAGTTTTGAAACAAAATGTGCCAAGACAAAAGAATATAAAATAAGCATCGAAATAAAATTTAACAACCGGTAACAAAGCCAAAAATACTTAGCAGAAACCTTTTCAGCAGAAAAAAATTCAAAAAAATAAAGTTCCCTTCAACCTCAAAATACACATAAAAAGCCGATAAAATATACGTCGAAACCTAGTAGGCCGAATAAAATCATAAAAAAGCCTGATAAAAATCAAAAAAACTCAAGAATAATAAAAAGTTAATCAGCCCCCCCCCCCCCCTGACCCTCAGCACACATGAAGCCGAAACGTATCAAGCCAAAAAAAGGAAGGAAAAAATGAAATTTTACCAAATTGAGTTAGTAAAATAGATAATTTTTTAAAAAGAGACATAATTTCGAATAAGACGCAAAAAACATCTGTAGCGGTTAATTTGTAGCTAACAGACTTCCAGGAAACGAGTCCAGATGAAAAGCCGTGAACAAAGTTATTTACGGGAAAAAAGTCTAGTAACCAATTGCAATACCCTTGCTTATCGCAAGGGTAAAGAGTAGCAAAAATTTTCTAAAACACTTTCAGTCAAACTAGAAATTTTTAGGACCAATTAGCTTGTTTCGGAAAAATTATTCAAGCATTGAAATTTTAGATCAACTAGCCACACTCATTAAGTCTCTCTTACGGGTTGAGCATCATAAGCGCATGATTAAGTCCAACAAATAGTCAACTTCGAATCTCCAAAAATTAAGAAAAAAGTCACAGGTTAAATATTTCCTTATTTGAGCCAGGACGTTGATATCTTCGATTTCAAAACATGACAAATCGAATGTTCGAAAAGCGTCATGAACTTCAATGCAACAAAAGAAAAATGAATGACTTTTTTTAAAAGTTTCAACTTTCGCATTTCGAAAAGTTAAATTATATCACGTTGAATCTCTTTCGATTTCAAATATATTTTATGATTGAAAACAGTCGTAAACTTATCTTAATAAGAGAAAAATGGGTCAATAGATAAATTTTTAAACTCTATTGGGAAATTCAAAAACTAAAATCTTACCAAAACTCCTGAAATTATGCCTCAAGGATGTTTGAAATTTTAGAACGACATGCAATTTTGGGAATAAACTCCTTCATTGATAATTACGCAAAACTCATTGAATGCATCAGACAAAGCACCAGCATAGATAGAACTGATTAATTTTTTGAAAAAACACCTGGAAATGACAACTAAGTCAAGAAGAAGTAGGCAGAAAAACTAAAAGCAAAAAAAAATTTTTACAGAAGCTGATCTGCACTACGAAGACGCAAAAGAAAAACGGTTAAAATATATCTACGAAAAAAGGAAAAAATACAAATAAGCAGTAACATGCATTACAAGAAAATCAATTTCAAAAAGTAACAAGACAGCTCGTATCAGGGCGAAGCCCTAATGTTCCGACTGCCTTTAAGGTCTATGGCGCAGTAATAGCATGAAAACATTAAATGTAATGAAATAAAATGAAAAGAATTTTTTTTATTCTAAGATTTTTGTGAAAATCATCCCCCCACACGCCATATAAAGTACAAAGTGATCGATACTTAAAAGAAGTCTCCCTACATTATCTATTTCTTAAAAATATATATCTGTTGAAATGATAAAAGTTATACTATTTTTTTTCAGAAACTTTTTCAATTTAGTGCCTTGATTATTATCTGTTAAATGTCTGTTAAAATGATAAAAATCGTACTATTTATAATCTGTTAAAATTATAAAAATTGTACTATTTTTTCAAAAACTTTTTCAATTTTGTTTCTATAAGGCATAACCTAAACAATTAAATCAAGTCACAATCAATTTGCCTGACCTTAACAAGAATGCCAACTTAAGGCTGATGAAAACAATGTAAAAACACCATGAGAAATAAAGAACCGAAAGTCTGATAGAAAAATATTAAAAATTTTCAGGTGTATAAAAACCAAAAAGCTATGAAAGTATATTTTAGCTGCTTGAAATGGAACAAAGAAAACTTATTGAAAAACTGAAAATTGAACAAATTTAGCGAGGGAATCCATGAAGCCGACAAAAATTTACTTATACTATTTTTTATTTATTTTAACTCTGGATTCAATTTACCGGTTTAGTAAACTAGATGTTATAACACTTTTTGACTGAACTTGGAGACATCAACAACTTCGGTCATCCTGAGAAGAACTAAAATAGCGTATCACATGAAAAATCAGGAAACTTTCCTGCAGCTTAATTACCTGTACCATAGCAAGAAACCCATCAAAATGATTCATATTATACTGCATATTGCTTGAATAAACAGAATATCTCGTATTGTAGCGACTTAACTGATAAAAAAAATCAACGATGGACGACAATTAATTTTTTTCAATCTGAAAATTTTCACTTCGCAAAAAAAAACAGGTCCTGGCCGGATTCAAAACCCGACCTCCGTACTGCTAGGTATTACTACATTTATCTAAACCAAATGAGGGTAAGCAATCGAGGAATAAACCATAAAAGAATTCAGAGATTCTGTCAAACAAGTTGTTTACATGAAAAAGTCTTTGTTCCAATTTGATAATGCTTGTTAATCGCCAGCGTAAATATGGACTTTGAAACAGGGCGTAAACCAAGTTATTGATGAGCGAAAATTACCTTTCGTTTAGCAAACTAGCGCATGACTCGCACCTACGGTGCTCCAAAAAGATCGTTAAACGTAAAAACGCTTTCTAAAAATGTAGTAAAACAGCCATATTTAAGGCAACCGTGAAGATAAACTGGGCTACCAGGGGTTTCTATTGCATAAAAAACGCCAGATCTCGAAAACCAAAATGATTATGGCAGATAATACTTGAGGGCAAAACTTCTACCCTATATTGTAACCTGACAAAACCTCACCATATGATTGAAAAATTCAATTTCTATTAATGTGTTTTAAAACCTGAAAATTCTTCAAAAAATCATGAGAAACGCCATCACGGAAAACTAGAGGGTAGACTTGTACCCTGACAGTACATCCTGAATGTACCCTGACAAAACCCCATCATCGAATGAATGTTCGAAGGCCACCATGATCCGTGCTCGTTGCTTGAGGGTGAGGCAATATTACCCAGCCCAAAAAAAATTGCATGTAGTTTATAAGCAGGGGCACAACAGCGGTTCTCCATGATGAGCTAGACAGCTCGTATGTTGGTTCTTTCCCTCGTGGATAAATTATCTAAAACCATTAGATTTGAGAATTTCAAGATCGATTAGATTTTTTTAAATTCAAATTTTTTGATAAAAAAAGAAAAATCATAAGAAACGTCATATCTCGAAAACCAAAAGGATTTGAAGAATCACCCTTGGACGCCAGATTTGCAATCCTTGAGGGTACCCTAGCAGCACCCCAAATTAGGGACAAGAATTTCAAGTTCGGTTAGTTTTTTTATAGCTAATTTCTTCAAAAAAAAAATGAAAAAATCATAAAAAAACTAAGATATCTCAAAAACCAAAAGCATTTGAAAAACCAAAAGCATTCAAACCCTGAGTGTACCTTGGCGGCGCCTCGATTTCGGGTTGAGAATTTCAAGTTTGGTTAGTGTTTTTTTATTTCTAATCCTTTTTGAAAAAAGGAAAAATCTTAACAAACCTCATAACTCGAAAAAAAAAATGTGGAGTTAAAGCATTCGCGCTCCAACATATTTTAAAACGGCGATTTTTGTAAGCATTCCAACTCTCGCAAGGCTTGTGTTTTCAACACAAACACGTCTCAAACATGTGCCAAGTGATATTTCTTACACATTAAAAAACGATATAGCATAAACATGCCAACTCTTTCGTTAAACATGCAAAAAATTATACGTTGAAAGGCATGTCAACATAGTCATCTTAAACATGTGCCGAATGTGATACTTGGAGGCCGTATTTGCACCCCTGAGTGTACCCTTATAGCACCCCAAAATAGGGGGGTTGAGATTTTTTATATTTAAGCTTTTTGAAGAAAAAAAAAATGAAATCACGAAGAACGCCATATTTCGAAAACCATAAGGATTTGAGTAGTAATAATTAGACGATAGATTTGCAGTCCTTGAGTGTACCCCGAGACCACCCCACTATAGGGTTGAGAAATTCATGTTCGGCTAGTTTTTTTTATATGTAAGTTTTTTTGAAAAAATAAAAATAAAAAACGCCATATCTCGAAAACAACAAGGATTTGAGCAGTCATACTTGAAAGCTAGATTTATAAACTCTGAGTGTACCCTGATAGCACCCCACTATAGGGTTGAGAAAATTAAGTTCGGTTAGTTTTTATATCAAAATTTAAAAAAAATCATAAACATCATATCTCAAAAACTATAAGAATTTGAGCAGTCAAATTTGGACGCGAAATTGGCCGCTTCTGAATGTACCCTGATATCACCCCACTATAGAGTTGAGAAATTCAAGCTCGGACATTTTTTTTATAATTAAGTTTTAAAAAATGAAAAAACCATAAAAACGCCATATCTCAAAAGCCATAAGGATTTGAGCAGTCATACTTGGACGCTAGATTTGTAACCTCTGAGTGTATCCTGATAGCACCCCTTTATAGGGTTGAGGTATTAAAGTTTGGTTAGTTTTTTTTTATATCTAAGTTTTCTGATAAAAATTAAGAAACGCCATATCTCGAACACCAAAAGGATTTGAGCAGTCATACTTGGACGTCAGATTCGCATCCCCTGAAGTTGGCACATGGACGTCACATTCGCATCCCCTGAAGTTGTAGCCTGGCAGCACCCCACTATAGGTTTGATAATTTGACGTTCGGTTAGTTTTTAATATCTAAGTTTTTTGAAAAAAAAATATAAAAAAATCATAAAAAACGCCATATCTCGAAAACCAAAAGGGTTTGAGCCGTTATACTTGAATGCTAGATTTGCAGCTTTTCTTAGCACCATTACTACTCAAATCCTTATGGTTTTCGAGATATGGCGTTGAGAAATCCACTATAAATGAGAAATTCAAAATTAATAAGTGAATTGATAGTTTTACGTTGCGAATAAAGGAAAAGTAAGATTTAAAGCATTCGAGCTCCAACCGATTTTGAAACGCTGACTTGAGCAAACTTTTCAACCCTTGCAACGTTTTGGCCTTTTAACAGACCAACATAAGGACTTCTTAAACATGTGCCAAATGAAATTTCTTAAGCGTCTTAATATACGATATGGTTTAAAAGCGCAAAAACCCTTCCGTTAAACATGCAAAAAATAATACGTTGAAAAAGTTTAAACATGCAAACACAGGGTTCTCTTAAACATGTCAAAATAGGGACTTCTTAAACATGTGTCACATGAAACGCCAATTAAATAATAGATAGATAGATGAATCTGAATTGTTAAAGAAATCAAAAGTCAAACCTCGAAAATCAAATTAGGGAGTGCACACCTTTCAAGATTTTTCCGGAGATGCACGACCTAAGCAAGTCTCTTCGATTCGCTTATTGACACTTAGACAAATTGCTCTTTATTACTTCTGCCTGGTCAGAAATTTAGCAATTCTTTAACGAAACGTTGATCTATTTTGTCAGCAGGTGTAGCTCTGTTCATTCAATTGACAGTAGCCTTCAATTTTGAGAGCATACCTTTACATCCTTCGCAACTAAGTGCATTGTAGTGGTATCCACTCGCTTTGTCCCCACAAATGGAGCAAGCTTCTTTCACATTACTTGGCCTGTCCGGTCTTCGTCGTCTTCTCACATTTCCAGTTGAGGACAAAATTGGGCTCTGGTCTGTAGACGAAGTTACTCTATCGTCGCGTAAGCTTCCCATCACTTGCCCGCTAGGAGCAACTGTTAACGAGGAGGCCGCACTCGGTTGTTCAGTTTTTACTAAAGTACATCCCGAATTTGAGCCAAATGGCATCGTAGAGCTACAAAATTGCTGCGAGTCCGTTTTCAGAATTGCAAAATTTGTCTGATCCATTCCTCGTGACGGGCTGAAATTAACATGCTGACCGTTGTTACCGGTCAAGGGTTCTTGTAGCCTTTGATTGCCAGAAATTTGAGTTGCATTACAAGTGCGAGGTTTATTTGTTTCTGATTTGATAGAGAGTGGAGACAGATTAGGTTCTGTTGAGAGGGGCCCCGGAGGAGTCGATTTGGGGGACAGAGCGAGGTCATCGATGAGAATATCGTCAAAGTCATCCTGCTCGGGGAAAAGGACGTCTTCGCAGATCTCTTCCAAGTTGAAGTTGAAAGCTGGCAGTTGCGAAAGGTCCATGTCAACTAAACATCGCGTATTGTGATATGATATCAAAGACGGAGTGCGGCCAGTATTTAGACAGCCGCGTATTCATACTGGTCAGTATTTAGACAAATACTGTTTCAACCAATCAGAATCGAGAAAAAACATAAATAAACCAAAATAAATAATAATTATTTATTAATTTCTTCTTTGTCTCGATTCTGATTGGTTGAAACAGTATTTGTCTAAATACTGACCAGTATGAATACGCGGCTGTCTAAATACTGACATGTAACCATCAAAGACTTTGTATTTGTATAGTCATCAGTGAGTTGAAAAAAAAAGAAACCCCCAAGAAACGTTCATAGAAAAAATTCCACCCTGATGACGGCAATTCGAATAAAAACTACCATTGAGACGTCACTGTTTTACTGAAAATTATCTGATTTCATCGATCGAATATCGCAAGGGTAAATTAACCAAATGAAAAACTCGGATTATTATTAAACCATTTGCTTCATTTCATTCGGCTGGAAATTTGAAGTATTAAACCCACTTTTGATTTTAAAAAAATTAAAATATGTACAGAAAATAGGATCTAATTAAGTGAAATTTACTTCCTCCTGAAACAAGTAGAAGTAAATACCCAACAGATAGACTCAAATAATCTTACAGTCTGATGCCCATTCCTCTGGCGATGGAGATGATTTGGAAGATCCCTTTGAAATCTGATCTTCATTGGAGCTACCAGACGAAACAATTGAAGTTGAACTACTTGCAGCTGAGTTCTGTGGCGTAACATATTCTTCTGATTGCGAAACCTTCGTTGCCGATGAGTTACACGAAACGAATTGCTGATTTTCGCTTTTGGCGAATGTTAAGATTCCAGGAAAGTAATCTCCATCGGCGACCTGGTCTCTCTTTATTTCAGTATTTGCGATGTTCATCGACTGAGATCGAACGATTGTTGGTGGATCTTGACAAGGTCGAATCGCGTGTTGCTGCATCATCGGAGGTGCAACATTTTGCGGATAATATAGGACTGTTTGAGGCATATACTGCATCGTGGACGTCTTATTGGGATGCATCTTTGGAGTAATAACATTATAAGACATTGGAGCTCTGTAAATTGTCTGATCTGAGAAGGTGTTCGAATGGTTAGATCCAATGGCGTAATTAGTGGACTCCGGAAATCGGTTGCCATTTAGTTGCTGCCCATTGTTCGAACCGGCTACCATCCCAACCGGTTGCATAGTTACATTAGAAGGCACAGAATTTGAAAAACCGTAATTTTGTATTGATGTCGAGGTTGCTTGGTAAACATTTGGATGCATTTGTCTGACAATTGGTATGAAGTGTGTGTTTATAATTGCTTGTCCAGGAGACGAATTCAAATGTTGCGCAGAGTTGTCGGTCAATCTACCAGTTGAAGCCTGATCCGGACACGGTCTTGAAACATTAAATTGATCATTCATGGCTATCAAATTGCAGATTAAGTTCTAAATAGCTATCCATAATTGCTATTTTCATTTCACATCCACTTATGCATCTGTAAAATCTAAAAATACAATCAAAATGGCCCCTTTCTTCATGCAACGGCCCATGCGCAAGTTTGGATAGGGCCATACAAACGCTATATGTTTGCGGGTTTTCGTACATTTACATCAGCAAGATAGAAATTTAAAAAATAAGTTACGAACGTTTTCACACACTTATCAGCAGACTTTAAACAAAACGCGAGTAACGCACCTCCGGTACTCATGATAAACAAACAAAAAAACTAAATTACAAAAGGGGCCCTTCCGTTTAGTTACGGTAAGTGCACAAGCTGGATAGGGCCATACCAGCGATATAAAAATGCATATATCAGCAATGAAGTCATAAATCAGCATTAAATGCATCGTCGTAATGTTAATTTATCTTAGCCGTCCTTCCTCTACGATAGCGCTTAAGGCGTTGTCGAGAAATTGAACTTTGCGTAGCGATCTGCACCCCCAAATCTAGAGACCTAAGTATGGGGACGTTTTTATTTCAAGAGTGGGGGGGGATATTTTGGTAGTAGCCTTTAAGCTGTAACGGGTCGTAGTCTCATGTCACAAGCGAACCGAATTGGCTCCGACTGATTTGAGGTAGAAAAACACAAGAGATAGTGTCCCTGACTCTTGAGCCAATGGTTATAGGGCCTATTTTTCTTAAACCTCATGTGTGACTACAGTAGACGAATGTTACCTAGTGTTTTTATGGCGCTCCTGGGTGTTTACGACATCAAGACTACGGAGTCGAACCCACTTGAGACAGCTTCGGGCTAAATGCCCATTCTAGAGTACCGGCGGTGCGGTTCGACAGGAACGTGCAAACCTTCCGGTTGTACCGTGATAGCTTTTTAAGAAAACTCGAGAAAACTTCCTGGTACGCTCTCCGAACGAGGCTTAGCTAACCGAGTAAAAGGGGGCAACTAGGGGGACAAAAACACGAGCAAAAAGACAAAAAGCAAAACAAAAACCAGAAAAGAATAGAAAAAGGAAAAAAAAACCATAAAACGAAAAAAGACGGTGACTTTGACACCAGATTAGTTGGATCAAACCTTTATATTAATTGAATAGTATACCCATACTGTTTTACAAGTTCGATCGTTTCGATCAACCTAGCAATTTAACCCAGTAACCTCAATAAAGTGCCCGAGTGTGGGGCGTTGTCAAGGGTTTTCAGATAGCTTGGAACTTAGCTGTACAACAAGGAGACTTGACTGGAAGAGGTGACCAGCCGAGTGGGAAAGTGGTTCAGGAGCACTTGAGCTGAACTAATAGGAGACTTGACTGGAAGAGGTGACCAGCCGAGTGGGAAAGTGGTTCAGGAGCACTTGAGCTGAACCAATAGGAGACTTGACTGGAAGAGGTGACCAGCCGAGTGGGAAAGTGGTTCAGGAGCACTTGAGCTGAACCAATAGGAGACTGGACTGGAAAAGGTGACCAGTCGAGTAGAAAAGTAGCAAAGAAGGATTTTGCAGTTCTCGAGTTCTCAAGTTGGGCAGAACGGGTATCGTTAAAATCCACATTACATTATAGGAGATAAGTGTAAAATTGGATAAGCGAAATCCCCTGGTTTTGAGGAACGTTTTTACTTGAGCAGGCCTGGAGACAGGTCTACGGTTTTCTCTTGAGAGGTTTAGCACCCGGCGCTTAAGGTAATTTTAGGCTTAAGAAGGGGGGCTAAAAAGGGGGGAGGTTAGAAGGGGGGCTGGTTAAGTTAGAGGTTGGCGGTTGTAAATTGTAAAAAAGGGGGAAATTAGAGTGACTAATTAGTCGACATCGTTGATTTAGTTACATTAGTCATTTACACGCGTTGGTCATAGGAAGCGGATATCCAAAATTGGAATTAGGTTAAGGTAGGTACCCTGGTCGGATCGGTAGGGGGGAACGGACATAGACAGTTTTTATGATACCCCATAAGATCGCTAGCAGGGGGGAAGGAAACGCGTGGCAATTAGGTACCAGTCATTTTTTCGATAGAAGGTAGACATTTGTCACCTTTGAATTTTAGGTGGATTCATCTTTCTGTTTTTATTACTTTTTCTTGCTTAGATTTTTGTTGCATTTTGGTAAGGATTTGTGTTTGGCTTTTATACGAACAGGTGATCACAAGATACCTGCGCACAGGTTTTGGTTTCAAGTTGCTTGGAACATTGAAAAAGAGGTAACTAAAAAAAAAAGGGGGGGTCAGCATTTGGCCACTAAGAGAGGGTTTTTGGGAAAATTTTTACTAGAGCTTGAGTGGTGGTATAAGGTACAGTGAGTCAAGAAGTCCCCATAACGAGGAAGAAAGAGGTCCCACCGCTCAGACACTTGTCAACAGTCTTGGGACAGTGCAGTCCTGGACCAGAGCAGTCTTGGGATAGTGGTCTTGGGACAGTGGTCTTTTGACAGTGGTCTTGGGACAGTGGTCTTGGGACAGTGGTCTTGGGACAGTGGTCTTGGGACAGTGGTCTTGGGACAGTGGTCTTGGGACAGTGGTCTTGGGACAGTGGTCTTGGGACAGTGGTCTTGGGACAGTGGTCTTGGGACAGTGGTCTTGGGACAGTGGTCTTGGGATAGTGGTCTTGGGATAGTGGCCTTGGGACAGTGGTCTTGGGACAGTAGCCTTGGGACACTAGCCTTGGGACAGTAGTCTTGGGACACTAGCCTTGGGACAGTAGTCTTGGGACAGTAGTCTTTGTAACATTCGCCCAAATATCACACAGCGACGGAGCGTAGAAAAAGTACCTATTGACGACTGGCAGGCGTCAGTTACCTTAATTCCACTCGTTTTTCACCGTCTCGACCTTGCCAGTTGATTTTCTGGTCTGTCTAGGGCAAAGTAAAAAGTTACTATTTTTAGGCCATCAGTCAAACGACTTTTGATCAGCTTTCGTTTGCATGCGAACACAACCACATAGCTGAGTCTCGGATCCTCAGACTACGTGATTGTCATTAAAAACACGGCTCGAACCACCTATTTCTATATGTTTTTGTGTGACAGTTTTATATTAAATCCATTGGAGATGGATTGACCTTTTCCTTTCTCTATCTACTCATGCTCTGAAATATTAAATAATAACGGTGTTTAATTCAGATCTAGGACATTACAGCAACTGTTATGGCTAGTTTACACAGTCCCTTCACATATAACAGTCTCTGGGGGACCAAGCCTCCGCTCCCGTGATTTTCTTGAGACAACACTCTTATCTCCTATATTTCGTGTCCCGGGAGGGTTCCGTGGTATTTCTCTTCCCCCCACTGAAGCCTCCGTCTCCACAAATATCCGTCACTAAGGTCCTTATCGTGTGTTATTGCCACGATAAGAGGCTCCGTAATTTTCTCGTCTCGGATACAACCGTTCGTCACAAAATATGGCGTCGTTCTGATTTTTCTCTATTTTATTCAAAATGGCCGTCTTTTTTCTATTTCTCAGAAATGTTCCCCTTCAAATCGAAATTTTAAAAATAAAAATTCCAGAACATTCTGACCCTCCGTCGCAACACTTTTCTGTTCGTAAGGCCTTTAGTCACTTTTTTTTCCGTCGCGGGAAGGTTATACTGTGTCATCCGGCGGAATGGCACATACTCCCCGGACAAGTCTCCATCAATGTCCCTATTGATCGCACAACACCGGGTTATCGTCAAGTAGGTATCCAGTTTTCTGTAACCAATCTTACAAATCGCATAAGAAAATGAAATCTATCTACTCCACCTCAACTCACTACGTGTTCACAAATGGCATCGTACTACATCTCACTGCCTTTCAACATTTTCACAAAAGTTGCACCATGAGGAGTGTCCTAGATAAAATTTCCTTTCTGACTACTTACGTCATCTCGCCATAAAACTTCTTTTCGCTTCTGATTAAAAAGTGGGACGTGGCACGGCCACGCACCCGTTAAAATTAACTTAACTTCACTCACCAAGTATAATTAGTCATTTATGCGGTCCTTTCAATATTAAAACTAAGAAACTCTGTGGCTAGGAAAGTTATTGAGTTACCCACCCTTCTCGAGCGAATTTACTCAAACTTACCATGTCGCCACACAGTGAATTTGTGTCTTACACAGGTTAAAAACTTCAGTCGTGAATAAATAGGTAAATATACTCACCTATGCTCCTTATATACATACATAGATAGTAGTAACTAAAATCAACAATTTCAACAATTTTAACAATTGCAACAATTTTCAAAGTTTGGCCTGACCAAACTAAATCAAAACAAAAAGTTTCACAAGTTCAATAATCAAAACTTGGTTGATTTGTTCAAGTTTTTACACACAAAGACAATCAAGTTTTTTCTCCTTCTCTTCTCTTCCTCCGTCATCTTCATTCCATCATTTCTCCATCCTGATGTTCAGCGTCACTGTCTTCCAGAACTTTCTCTAACATGTCCAGAGAGTTGCGGGCCGTGCCCCAACCCTCCTGCTCCAACAGCCTCGGTTTGCAACAAGGTAGTAAGTCCACATTCACCTTCTGCTCCCGGTTCCTGCAAAAGCTGTTGTGAAGACACAGGCTCACGTTTCGTTCTAGGTCAGCTCTTAAGACCTCTTTCTTTTCATCTTCAGTAACACAAGGCGCTCCAGCTACTCGCTTCACCGCAGTGGTGACCGCGTTTCTATGCGTCAGGAAAGCTCTCTTATAGGCTCCTGGTCCTATGTCTAGCTGGAAAGATTGATAGGCTTCCGTGTTCCTTGACATGTGACGCTTCGCGCGTTCATACATCCAAGATGTCATCACTGCACGGAACCAAGGCATCAATCTTTGCCTTGACCATATTCTTTCAATGGCTTTAGGTATTCTCAGAACCTTGCAAGTGGTTCTGAAAAGATCCAATTCACTACTCATTTTCACGTTGCTCAGCTGTTCAGGAGTCGGCACGGCCGTCTCCTGCTCATTTGTGTCCGCATAAGCCTCCAACCATCTCACTGCTAGCATGGCGCTAACCACCACGATTGACACTGGTTGATTCTGATCGGGCAACCCCGTGGAGTACAACTCCTCCACGTCCCAAATTAGGATCAGGTTCCCACGTTTGGGGT